TCCTTCGCTCTGAGCGGGAGTGAGGGACCTTCCGCCGAATTGCCGCCGCAGATCACAATCGCGGCTGGTTTTTTTTTTTCCCCTTTTTGGCTGCTTGGGGCGGCCAAAACCCTGGAGCCGGCACTGGCTGGCATAACGCCCTGGTTTGTAGAATGTCACAACGAGCTGTTCCAGCAATGTCAAAACCTTCTTCCCCAAACATGTGTCAAGTCGGAAGAGGCGCCGACGCTCACTCACCCTGCTTTGCAAAGTTTCTGCATTCTGCAGCGAAACCACGGCTGGGTGGAAAACACCCCAACAGCTTCACTCCCCATGTTATTCTCAGAGCTGGACAGCCCCTGGGAGCCAGAGAGCGCGGCTACAGCCAGCAGTGGCAGGAGCTAAAGGCTTCAAACTAAAGCTTGTTATTTAAAGAAACCTACGGGATAAAGAGACATGGGCTAAAATTCACCAGTTCAGAGAGCTGGCACAGCGCTTGGGCATCACTTTAATCCTCAAAATAGTGCGGAAGTGGCCTTAGCACTAACGAGGCCACAAGAAGCAAAGCAAAGAACCTCCAGTGACCTCCGAGTAAGGAGGCAGAAGCACCATTGTGGACGGCCTTGCTATTAAACAATACGCTCCCACAAACCAATACCATTCGCCATGGCCTGCCGACCCCCAGGACAGTCTCCAGAGGGCGTGCATCACAATGAGTTGAGTCAGTCCAGGTCCCTCATCCATGTTCTTCTTTCTCAAGGAGGTGCACTTAATGAATACGAGTCTTTTAACAGGGCACTCAGGGGAACAGCAAGCTCTAGTGAGAGTCTCCCTAGGAAACCAGCTGAGCTGCCCATAACCAGACGCTCCCACCACACCATGCCCAAGGCTTCCCCGGGAATGGCCCTGGAGGAATTCAGCAGCTAACTAGCTGCATAGAGATATTGCACAGCTGTAGAACCACAGAGGCGTGCTGCTCCATTAGACACTGGGCGGGGGACAAGTCTAGTAGCCCATACACAGGGCTTACTGGGGCAAGTCCCGGGAGTTGACCCTGAAGCTGCTGTCAGTGCTGCAGGGGGTCAGTGGTGTGGAGCATGGGGGATTCAGGAGGGACCCACCGCACAGAGGCGATGCCAAGTGGACCCGTTTTGGCTCTGGCCAGGGAGTGAGAGTTGCCCACCTCTATGTGTCTTGCTCTTGCCAATCACAGAACAAGTTGATGTGACTGTCACCTGCAAGAAGGGGGTCAGCAGGACTGGCTTGGTGGCCTCCTTAGAGCTAGGGTAGGTAAGAATGCGCCCTCCAGGGCGAGAGATGGGAGAGCGCCTGCTCCTTCGGCCCTCCATGGCACCTTGCCAAAAGAGGGCTGTTAAGTCCCCCTGCTCACTTTAATATTCAGTTGCCTGTTTGCTGAGAGAGCCCTAGGGTTGCTATTTTTTGTGATGGAGATGCCCGCCCAGCAGGAACTGGGCTGAGACCCAACACACTCATTCCGCACAGGGGCCACCAAACAGTGGTTTGACATGTAGCTGCTTTCTGTCCCTATGCAACAAGGCTGGGCTTGACCTGGGGGTGCTGGAAGCAAACAGCTTCCTAGCTCATGACCATCCACTTTGTACCTTGCTGGCCCCCACCACAGTGCCTCGTGCAATTCCCCCCCTTCCCCCGCGCTGGTGCAGCCCTTTGCATAAGAACAGGATGGGAGGGGGAATGACCAGAGTGCTCAGTGCTCCAGCTTTTCGGGCTGCAGAACAGCCAACAGGAAGCCAGGCCAGGGCTTTAGGAAAAACAAGGCTGAGCCCAAAGCCAGCGATCAGAACATTCAGCCAAGGAAGTGATCTTGTGATCATAGGTGTGTTATAATGCAAGGTAACAGGGCCAGATTCTCAGCTGTTGTATGTCGGCATCGCTCCATTGACTTCCAACGGATCCGTGCAGAATTACACCAGCTGTGGATATGGCCTTGTTCCGGCAGCAGCTTAGCGCTCGGCCTGTCCTTTTCCCCATGCAGCATTGTTGCATCACTATCTGCGGAACCTGCCTCATACAAGACAGGATGGGTTCACTCCTCCTGCTTTCCCGAGTGTCCTCGGCCAGATCCGTGGCCTCCAGCTTCGATGAGGGCTCCGGAGAGGCCCCATTGTTTCTGAAGTCCTTTAGTGCTTAATCATAGCAAAGGCAGCTCACGCTCCTGCAGCCAGCGGTAGACTGAAAAGAACATGCCCCACTACTCAATAGATCAGCCATGAGCTATCTGCTTGGCATCTGGGCTTCCAATACAGTACATTCCTCCTCGCTCAATTTTCTCCTGTTTGGCAGCAGAATGGTCTTTAAAAAACGAGAGATAATTATCGGAAGTAATCATCGGTCTATTGCTGTGCTCTCCCCCGCAACCACCTGCTTACCCCTCTGCAATTAATGGCCCCAAATATCACTTGGTTTCTCATGGCCATTGCACACGAAAAGGGTAATTTACTCTCCCTGGATCAGGTCATGAAATGTTAATGGGGCTTAACAGGAGTTTTCATAACCTCCCCTGCCCTCTCTCAGAGCGGCGGCATTCTAAGGGGCAGATTCCGGGCCATGCCTCTTGGGAAGAGCAGTCCAAGCAGGGGGAGCTGCAGGGAAGCTTTATAACCTCTTTGTACCTCCCAGATCCTAGGCTGCTCCAGAGGCACACATGACCTCTGCAATAAGTTAGAGCAGTCCTCAGCCTTTAAGGCCTCCTTGCATGGCTGCCTGTTGGCGGTTCTGCAGCCCAGAAGAGACGGAGCACAGAGCACTCGGGTCATTCCCCCTTTCGCCGCGCCCCTAAGCTATGTCGCTCCTGCACTGGGAGAATTCCCCAACGTGCTGCAGTGGGGTGCAGAATCCGGCCTCAAGGGGCTGGCGTCATCAGTGGGTTGGCCCAGGGAATGGGACTTCACCTTATTTCGTACTGAATGCTGCAACGCCCTTTCAGGGCCTGATCCTGCAGTTTAATGTGATGAGGGACTTTTGCCGCAGACTTGGATGGGAGCAAACTCCAGTTCAGAAAGGCACCTTGAGCTTGTACAAAAGGCACAACACAAACAATTGGATTGCTCGGCCAGAGAACGAAGCTCATTGTTTCACGGCTAAGACACAGAGACCAGAGAGGAACATTAGTGCAGTCACTGCAGTTTTAGCACCTGCTGCTTAGTGATTTTTAAAATATTACAAAACCAGGATTAAAAGGAATCAGACAGGTCAGAGATGCTCATTGGCCTTGTAGGACTCCATGCTCCCTAGACACTCTACGTCGCTTCCCATCTCACCATGGAGGCATCAGACACGACTTTGTTTTTAGCTTTGTGCTAAACACCCATTGAAATCTGACAGCTTCTCTCCAAGTTCCCTGATTCATTTTTGTTTCTGTCAGAGCCCTTCAAGGGGAAAGCCTGTTTCTTAGCTCTTCCCGACCCGCTCCAGGAAAAAACAAACAACCCCCCCTTTAAAAAGAACAAGAAGAGCTTGTAATAAGGTATTTTGTCCAGAATGCTTCCTGAGAGTTACTCATACAAGGTATGTCTACACTGTGATCAGGAGGTATGACTGCAGCATGTGTAGACATACTTGAACTAGTTTTGATCTAGCTAACTTGAGCTAAAGGAATAACTCTCCTCCCTCCTAGCTGTAGCAGGCTCCTATCCTGTATGGAGCAGTCATCAGAATGGGGACATACTACACGCTCTGAACAATGTGTCAACAGCAGCATGTCCCTCTAATGCAGTGGTTCATAAAATGTTACAGCGGTTCTCGGGAAAAAATTCCCTAATGGCGGACAGAGCTGTCCCTAGGGACCCTGGGCAGCACAGGGCCAACAGCCTGGAGCCCCTGGACAGGGCCGGCTTTAGGAAGTGCGGGGCCTGATTCGAACAGTTTCCACGGGGCCCCGACAGTGATGACTAAAAAAAAAAACCACATAAAAAAAACACGTGAGGCTTGTATTCACCCAGCCATGCTCCTAGTCTTTGGTGGTGGGTCCTTCACTCATTCCGGGTCTTCGGCAGCACTGAAGGACCCGCCACCAAAGTGCCGCCAAAGACCCAGAGCGCCTCCAGGTGAGTAAAAATTAAAAAGGTGCCTCTAGCCAGGGAAGGGATTCTTTGCCACTTGCCCCCCACTCTGGGCGGCCCTGCCACTGGACGCGAGGCCCTCTTAGGCGCGGGGCCCGATTCGGGGGAATTGGTGGAATCGGCCTAAAGCCGGCCCTGCCCCTGGACTTCCAAGAACTAAGCAGATCAAAACAAGCAGATCTATCACACTGAGAATGTTTAAACTTCAAGACTCCTTATATGAAATGGAAAGGGAGGTGGATATTTTTTGCTGTTTTTAAAATTAAATGGGCAGCTAGTATTGTTTTTAAAATTATTATGAAGAACAAGTTTAAGCTTTGTTGTAACGTGCGTTGTTTGCCTGGACTGCTCAAGACCTGAATGCTTGTGTAAGAAGAACTCTGAGTTGGCTTCTTAAATACCTTCATGCTTTCACATCTGATACTCCTTGATGAAACATAGGAGCCTTGTCTTATAACAGGCTTATTCAAAGTGATACAAGCTACGAAAGTGAGATCTTGGAAGAGTGGTGCTGTTTTCATAATGTAATAAAAATACTGTAATGATCAATAATAATTAATAATAAATAATGCGTAATAAGCATGTCATAAAAACAAATTTGATATTTCCAAGATCACTGCTTTTATAATTTATACTCAGGTAAAGGAGAAAATCCCTGGAAATATTCATTTTTAGGAGGGGGTTTGTGAGACTTGACATTTTAGTGAAAAGGGTTCACAGGTTGTTAAAGTTTGGGAACCACTGGTCTAATTGGACTGAGATGCAATATTATCTCAGACATGCTTTTTAATCCACATACAATTTCACTCTCATGAGGACATGACAAAAGAGTAAATCAACAACTTGCACAACCATCTGGCTTGGGAAACTCATTCATTCCAGTGTAGCTCATGGGAAGGTGAGAATCTCAGCCAGATCTACCCGATTGGGAGCAATCTGATAGCAAGGCTTGGATTTTTGGGTTAATTGGTAGCAGGATCTGTTGGCTCCAAGCGGCTTCCTTCACACAATAAAAGAGCGTGTCCAGTCCAGGTGACTCTTGGCTTGGAGAGACCGCAGATTAGTGTCTGTGCAATGAGAGCCGGCTGCCCACGGATCCGGGTGTCTAAAGCAGGTGACGTTATCTCCACTAGCTGTTGGAAACTCTTCCAGGTCATACCAAGGAGCTGGTGTCTCCTAGTTTCTGGAATAGCTGCAACAATGACAGTTCATTAGCAGCGGTAGTAAACTCCAGCTGAACATAATGGTGACACTTGCAGTTCAGCACAACTGCGCCTGTATTTCCCTTAGAGGTTCAGCAAGGGCACCCACGGGCAGGCTTCTGGCTTCCAACTTGTTGCCTTTCTTGGGTGGAGCCCCACGTCTCTCTCCCTTCTGACTGAGGTATTCCCAGGCTGAACAGTTCCCTGCCTTCACTGTGCTATTCCCAGCAAAGGACAGACTGCTTAAGCAGACCTTGTTTCTTCTTCAGACATTAGAGCAGTGCATCTGCCCACAGGTAAGCTACCACACAGCTCTTGTGATGCAAGTGGATTTATCCTTAAGATGAAACCATTACAGAGAAAATGTATTAAAAACAATAAAGGAACCTACATACATGCTAAAAAGCTTCCCAGCGATCACCCCAACTCCGCCATGGGCTGTGGTAGCTAATTTGTCCTTCAAAACCCCATAAAAGGTCACCTCTATGGTCCTTCAAAAACCCTCTATTGTCACAAGTGCATAACAGCCTCAGCTCAGAACTAGCCCATTCAGGTAAAGTTTAGTCCATCTGTTCTACAGTTCAAGGATCTTTGATGGGAATTTCCAGGAGCAAGTAACCAGTAGACAGGGGGTCTCGCTCCCCAGGGCATAGCTTCAAAAGGCTGGTTTCACAGGGGAGAATTTGCATTTCCCTCCTCTCAAGTACTTTCCAGGATAGTCACATCACAGAGATGGTCCCCAAAGCCCTTTGAAGTTCCTAATACTTTCAGAGATTTAATTGGTCAGGTTTCTAGAAAAGTTATGTACAATCCCACAATAATCCAGACACAACTGCATTTTGAATAAATGGACCACAAAGGTTTAAAATTTAATTCAATAATGTTTGTCCAGGAGAGTGTCGGACTCTCCCAGACTTGCCTCAGGACAGTGGTTGGCATTGTAACAAGGGATGACCAGTTGAAGTCCTGATGCTATTTGCTATTGAGTACAATCCGTCTCCTCAGCAACTCTGTATTCACAGTTTAAGACTTTTTTCTATACAGAAGATACAGTCCAGACCTCTAGTGAACAGATACATATTGGTGCCTATGAATTAGTGCTGATCAAAAATGTTCACACTAGTGAAATTTCAACAAAAATTGTGCCAATATTTTTCACAATTTTTTGACCAATTCTAATATCAGTGAGAGTCTAGCGTTGAATGTGGACAAGACAAAAACTATGGTGGTATGCAAGGATCCTGGGAAAACACACAAGATTCCAGCGAGTGACACAGCTGTACGACGTGAGAAATCACTGCTACACCTCTACCCCGATATAACGCGACCCGATATAACACGCATTCGGATAGAACGCAGTAAAGCAGCGCTCCGGGGTGGGGGCAGGGCTGCGCGCTTCGGCGGATCAAAGCAAGTTCGACATAACGCGGTTTCACCTATAACGCGGTAAGATTTTTTGGCTCCCAAGGACAACGTTATATCGGGGTAGAGGTGTACTTAGGAAGCATCATTACAGAAGACGGAAGATCAGCTAACGGCAGAATAGCAGGAGCAAAAGAGACATTCTGGAAGAATTAACATGGGATGAGAAGGAACATCAAATCTGAAGACTTGTTTTAAATCCCAACTCTTAAAAACTTGCACTTGGTCAGGTCTGTGTTAAATTATGGCTGTGAGACGCAGACATTCAAACAATTCAAGCGTAACTGAGGGCAGACATTTAACTGCCTCTTTCGACCAGATTTTCCTCTCCCTTTCACCTGTGTAAATTGGGAGTGACTCATTTGAAATCAATTAAGTTACGTGAGATGTGAAGCCAGTGTGAGAGGAGAATGGGCCAAATTCTCAGCGGGTGTAAATCTGTGAAGCTTTGGAAATGTCAATAAAGATCTGTTGATTTACACCAGCTCAGAATTTGGTCCAGTATCCTTACTGGGATCTTCCGCCAGTACCTTGCAAAACCAAAGCCCCCTGACTCTGCATGAAATCCAACCCCAAAGCCTTGCTTACCTTGCTCAGCAGTGGAATATTTCCCAAAGCTCCCAGAAATCCAAAGACTACTGGGAAAAAATCCCTGGAGCAAAACAAAGATAATTTTTAATCAATGAGTGGAAGCTGGGGAAGGGAGTGGGCTGATTTAGGGTCAAGGAAGGACTTTCCCTAGGATCTATAACTGGGTAAAATAAACACAGGTCTAAAAAATTCCTGTGAGCTTTCACTAGCTGGGAAATATTGTCCATCCAGCTGATTGCCAGATTGTTGCCAGCACACAAATGGCCATGTGGATTTGGTACGGATTTGGGGCCTGGCAGGATCTCTTCTGGCTCACAGTGTTTGAAATCAATGCCTTGCAAACGACAGGGGAGTTGATCCTGTGACTTTTGTGTGACTTTCTGGGGAGCTTTGGATGCTTGCTAAGGAATTCCTTAGGGGAATGAGAATGGGGTTTCCTAGATAGCCTCTTGTACCCACAATGCTCTACACCTATGGAGTTTTGCCAGTTACCCTAGCAAAGCTATTGGCAAAGGCCAAAACTAAAGGCATGTAGAGAACAAGTCACCTGAAGAGGGTGATGAAGCCATAGGTCTCCAGCAACATGCCCAGAAGAGGCCGTCTCAGGAGCACAATGAGAATGCCTCCCAGGAAGAAGCTGGTGCCCTTTAGCTTTTCCTTCTGGAAGAAGAAGTTGAAAGTCCTTCTCAGTCCGATGATAATGGCCAAGCCAAAAAGGAACAGGAGCTAAGCGGAGGAAATGGAGTCGCACAGGACTTGTTAGAGGAGAGAAAGTCTACACATTCCCTTCATTCATTCCCGATCGGGCACCAACTCTAGCTCCTCTTTCCCATGTGATCAAAGAGAACCCTTGTCTATCTCATCTGCTGACACGGGCATCCCCCTCTCCCCTCACCTGGGCGCCATCCATCACGCTAACTCAGCATCCTACTTGCCTGCTTTTGCAATCCATGTAACCATTATAAAGGACAATGCATATAAGCCACTGTAATAATGCAGTAAGGAAACAGGCTTGCCTAAGTCCCAGGCAACAGAAATGCAGTAGATTTGAGAATGAAGGGCTAAATTCTGCTCTCAGTTATAACAATACCTAGGTCTTACACAGCACTTCTCATTAGTAGATATTCAAAGGAGATATCAGTATCATTATCCCCACTGTAGTTGTTACAGTTTCACTAGTAGAACCCCACTAGGATTGCGCTGACTGTGGTAGAATTCCGATGCCAGCTGATTCCCACGGTGTTAGAAGGAAACATCTCTGATATTTCATGAGAATGAAAACGTGTTCATGTTACAGAGCTTGTCTATATGGAGAGTTATTCCAGAATAGCTATTCCGGATTAACTCTTCCTAATTAACGCCACGCGCGGATGCTCTTATCCCAGAGTAAGAGTGCCTTATTCTGAATCCACTCTGGAAATGGATTAAACTACTTTGGAATAAAAGCATCCACCCCTGGAGTTAATCAGGAATAGATAATCCACTTTAAATTTACACCCTACCTGAATCTGAATGAACTTCCATGTGTAGACAAGCCCTTTGTTCTTTTTATTTGTAAATTCAAGACAACTTTTAGAAGGACTTTAGTGCCTGTGAGGAGAGGTGCTGGGCTGACTTCCCTGGAGACTGAAATGCTCTATTTATCCCCACACAAGTATGTGCTGCACCATACAAGTGTCCCCCACACCATGTGTCTCAACCCTGATTGGGAAAGACCATCCCCAGTAGGGAGATAGTAGTTTAGTCTCCATGTGATTTGATTCTTGGCTTCTCTTTCGAGGTTGCCTACAAGGGGATCAGTTAATACCAGTTGTGATGAGATTAAGGATGGGGACATCATCACAGCTGGACTGAAATGCAGCAAATTTATTTCACACAAACCCGAGCAGGATTTGAACAGAGACTAGCCCCATTTCTCTCATAATAGGAACCTATACAGGGCCAAAGGGCTGGCACGCTCCACCGTGGGAGCTGTGACTGGTTGCAGTGGGGTTGTCGTGTCTGGGCCCCTGTCCCAGTGCTATATTTTGCCCTCAGGAGGGGCAAGGAAGGGGGCCAAGGTTTTGAGGTACTCACGTTTCCAAAGGCCAGCAGCACTGAGTCAAAGTACAAGAGTACCCCAAAAAAGATGAAAAATAGGCCAAAGCCCACAAGACCGACACCGATCTCTGCAACAGAGGGAGGGTCAGTGATTAGGAGCGCAGCAGCCAGAGGACAACGTATTGCTACCAAAGAAGTATTGGATGGTGCCAGCTTCTGTCACCAAATCCACTCCATGGTTCCTCGTTGCCTCGCCACCTCAGCAAGGAAGGTTAATTTGTGGGTTGCATCAAATATTTAGACAAGACAATTTCTATCTAAGGTAGGTTTTTGAGAGCTCACCCATCACCCTGGCCTCAGAGCGCCCCTCTCCCTATATGTATCTAGGGAAAAAGAGACAGTCTGATGTTAAGCCAGCTGGAAAACAGGAAAACGATTTCCTGAAAACCTGTGAAGTGGTTTCCATGTGGCAGGGGTCACCTCCTAATCCCCTCCCTCTTCAAAATGGAGCTGAGCCAAAGCTCTGGACTCACTAAGAGTCTTCCTATTGCCTTGAATGGGATTTGGGTCAGGCCCAGGGCTCTCCAACTTATCTATCAGCCAAAAGCAGCCAAGGATGGGATGTCATAGGGGTTTAGAGCAATGAAAACTGGTCTGAAAACCCAGGACACATCTGCAAACCTTGTGTGTGTGTCAGGGCATGAGTTACTCACTTCATTTTCCTCTTCAGGGAGATTTGGCGCTCACTAACAGTGCTGAGAGAAGGGAAGGCAAGTGCTCAGCAAACCTCCCACATACCCAGCTCTGCCAATGGCCCTCACCCCCCTCTGCTATTCCAGTCCTGAGCTCCCCACACACCCCACAGCTGTGCCAATGCCCCATAGTCTTGACCCACAGCCCCCTCCCCCCCACTTTTCCAGTCCTGAGCTCCCCACTGCCAGCTCTGCCAGTGGCTCTCCATCCTGACCCACAGCCCATTGCTATGCCAGTCCTGGGCTCCCCCACTCCAACCTCAAGAACTGCCAGCTCACCCTTGATCTACATCCCCCTGCCTTGGCATTGTAGACCCAGATCTCATCTGAGCAGACGCTGCCAGTTGTGGTGAGTTATGAGTTCTGCAGAGCTGTGAAATGCACGTTTCCCTCTTCTGTGGAATGGTGTTTCTGTGGTGTTGACAAACACCCATCAGGGTTTGCAGGGACAGTACCAGACTCAGGGCCTTTGGGGCAGGGGCAGGACAGTAGTTCACTCTGCCTCTGACACTTCCTGATCTGCTGTGACTGGTGCCACAGAGCAACCTCCAGCTCCAGCAGTCACAGCATCACACACTGGACGGAGCCGATAAGCCCTAGCCTCTGAGACAGGCTGTTCCCTGGGTTCACTGAGTATCACTGACGAGTTAACAACCAACCCCCCTGAGGCTGCGTCCCTTACTCACTCTGAAACTCCGTGAGAGACACCATCTTCCCTGGCATAAGCCTGGAGCGAAACAAGGTGTGTGTGGAGCGGGGTGTGGTGGGGGGGTGGACCCACAGCTTCCACGAGCTCCCAACCAGTGACCCTTGGAAAGGTCTTTAATCCCTACCTCGTCATCCCGCAAATCATTAACTCCACAGCAGCGGCAGTAACCGTAAAAGGCCCAGCTGTTAATGTGGCGTTCATCACCGCTAGGTTCCCTCTCTGAAACCAGCACAGGCCTCTAGTCCCTTACCCGGAGCTTCTTCTGCATAAAGTACCCCCGTGGATTCTGCCATCGCTATTACCTGGGAGAGCAGAGTTTTGTATTACCCCTCCCTGTTGTTCCTACTGCCCAGAGATCTCTATGAATGGCCCATTCCTGCCTATCAAGGACCTGATTCAAATCTGACCTACACCACTGTAAATGAGGATGAAAGAAGAGAATTCACAAGGCCTGAGTCTCCCTTGCTTTGTATTGTTATTAGCACCTAGGATCCCCAGTCATGGAGTAGGACCCCACTATGCTAGGCACTGTACAACCAGAACAAAAACGCAGCCCCTGCCCCAGAGAGCTGACACTCACCTGTCCCGCCCTGGCTCGATGAAAGCTTGCAACGTCCTTTGATCACCCGAAGTGCTGAGCAGTGCCATCCAGCTTGGTCTTTTTGTTTCTTAATAGTTGCTGGTCCGTGAACGTTTAGAAATAGCGTCCAATGGGGCTTCTCCGGGACCGTGCTTGGGCTTCTGAGCCACATAAGCTTTGCTGCCTCTAATTCTCCCGCTCAGTCGTGCGGCTAATTTCTTTTCCACTGGAAAACTACCCCATGGCCAAGCCCTGAATCTGCTACCTATCCAAGGAGCAGCAATGTCTACCTCATGCACACATCCCGCTGGGTTAAACCTTCCCCCTTGACTCAGCCGTGGCAGGATTCTCTTTTCTACTGCACAGCCTTGCTCCAGAACAGAGCGCGCTCATTCCACATGCAACCCCCGTTTGAATGGCAAGTGGAGAATCTTTATTGTGCAAGGCTAAGTACACAGCCCGGCACATCCGTTGCATCTGTCTGATACAGGGAGCGTGCTCCTACGAGCATTACACCCGATTCACCAGACATGGGCTCCAGCCATCACATGTAGGAGGGATAGTTTGTGAGAAATTAATTATTCATCAGCAATTGGTCTCTTTTCCTGTCTGTGAAACATTTGCAAGGAGGTTGGGAAATGCTCAGACGCATTCGCTGTTCACAATTGTCCCTCCATAGGTCTATTTCTGCCCCATGTCCTCACACTGAGCAGTCCCGTCCCACCCCACTGCTTTCTGGAGTTGGGTTGTACCCTCAGAGCATCCCAATGAGCATGGATTTGCTCCCCACTGAGCCTATAGTTAGCACTTACCCTTCAAGAATCCCCATTAAGCCATGGATTGCATACTCCCTTTTTCATTACCAAGCCTCTCGTGGGCAGCAGAGTTGGAAGTCCCCTGCTTGAGTTTCCCTCTTTGGAAATGATGCTGGAGCCAAGGGACTTGTGGGAGTCACTCTGGAGTTTCCACAGAGGATGGTGGGAGTTTGGCCTCTCCTCCCACAGTTCCCTCGGGTGGCCATCTGGATTCCCACAAGGTCCTTCAAAATCACTCAGAAGGCATTGCTACTGAGCTGTGTACATGGAACTCTAGGATTGCTATCCCAGAGGGCAGTGCAGCTGAGCGGGTGTAGAACACTGTGATACAGTCTTCAATTACATGGTCACATACTATTTTTTCCATAGGGCCCCTCTTTGGAGATTTTGGAGAATTTAAGCTGCCAAACTCCAACATATCTCTATCTCCACTGAGCACGTGTGAACTGAGATTTTCAGAGGCTCATAACCTGGCCAAATTCGGGTGAATTTTTACATGGATGATAAAAGACGCATCCCCTGTTCCGGGGCGACCCGCACCCCAAATTTCAACTCCTTCGTTGAAAGTATGGTAGTACTAGAGCTACTCAATGAAAACAGGTACGATTTTTTTTTTTAAACATTGGCAAAGCAATGTATTCCCCCCTAGCCTCAATCCTTGAAATGGCTAAACCATTTAAGCTGAAACTTTAAAAAAAATCAGCTTGGGGTAGACAGTCATCATGAAAAATTTCAGCCTGAATGGTTAGATCGGCAAAGCTATAAGCAACTCAAACAAGGTCTTACAACAGAAATTATGATCCGTTCCAACGATAATAAAAGACCCACAACTCAAGTTAACATCAACGGAAGCTGCAGCACCTCTGAAAATTGGTCCCCTAAATATGTCCAAGCATGTCCGTCCCCTAGCTATAGCTGCAAGAAGGACAAGCTCAACAAATGATCTATTTACAAACCAGCAATTTTTATTTTATACAAACTTGCAAGGTACAAATGCATTTTTTCCCTTGTGAGAGATTGGATCTTTTAGTAGCTACATCTAAAACAAATGCTGTTGGGAAAAATACAAAGCAAACTACCACTGATTTAATTACTGGGAAGATTGGGGTGAAGAATTCAAGCTGCTGAAACGCGACAGCCATTTGACCATGGTCTCTTCGATCTAATATTATAGTAGTTGTCATCTAAGGTCACTTTTATACAGAAAGAAAGACAGCAACATCACATCGTTTCTTGGATAATTTTATTTGTCTAACACTAGCAAAAATCTAATTTTTGCCACTCCTCCCACCCCCCCCCCCAAATAATGTGCATAAATAGATTTTTTTTTTATGCAAAGTTTTTTTGTTTTGTTTTTTTTACAAGAGTCGCTGGTATATGAAGGTGTTATGAAAAATAACCAAAATAAAATTAAAATAATTAAAAACCACAGTTCCACAATACTGCAATATTGTGATCCTCAGCCACGCCACTGAGAGCTCACAGCTTGGAACATTGGAAACTCTTAAAGTGACAGTAGCAGGGATTGGTCACAGACACTACGTTGTTATTCGCATAGTGGGGCGGTTTCCTCACTGTCCCTTCTACATCTACTAGGTCGTGCCTTAATGCCAGGAAGGTTCTTTTTAGGAGCTCCCTGTGTCCTTCGTGGGAATCCCTAGGCCTTTCAAGGGTGCTTACCAGTGGGGTTGCCTTGCTCCCCCACCCCTTCCCTTAAATGTACCCTCCCCTAGGAACCGTGTTGTCGGAGCTGAGATGCAGGAGAGCCCTCTTCATGATGGGAGACTGGACTGACTGGAGAGTCAAGGGGGAGCCCGTTGGGGAGCTGACACTCTGGTGGGAACTCCAAGTTGTCTCTTGGTTCCATCCATGATGCAAAGGCCACTAATGTCAGTGAGTGTCTTTCCATTGATGTTGGTGGGTTTTCAATTGGGCCACTAGAAACAATCCTCCTGACCATCCAACCTCTCTCCTGCCTCTGCTCAGCTCCTGCACCCCAGTTTGGTCCTGGGGGTTCTCCGAGCTTGGCTGCATTTTTCTCAGTTCAGCCACCCCCTTTTACATCTGGGGGCACATTCACAGCAAAGAAAGGCACATCCACCATGCAGAGACCATCCTTCCTGGGGCTTATGCCCTGGCGTATACCCTTCGGGTGTGTTGGTGAGGTTAGCAGCTGGACTACTGATAGGCAGCCCTCTGCACTAGTCACACCATCACAGAGAAACCATTCACAAAAACAAAAGGAAGGTAAAAATGTAACATTGAAACTCAAGATTAAAAATCCCACATACAGTCACAAGGATCCATGACTGACAGCTGCGTACCAGCAAGACATCCTCTGCAATCCCCAATACGGTACAGTCCTATATGTCTTCATATACTGTGCCTAGACGACCAGCTTTTCAGCATATGCAAATCAGCCTCGCTCTAATGACTTCAGAACGATGCCAATTTACACCAGCTGAGGACCTGGCCGTATACAGAGTGCTACCTATTCAGTAACAGGGAAATAAATGCATCATTTCTCAAAACTTACAGTTTTTATATTTTATTTTAAATAAATTTGCTTTTAATAAAAGCAGAAAATATATATATGTATATTTAAATAGGTCTTTTTTTTTTCTGATGAACTGGCAAAGAATCTCCTTTTGTAACTCTCTGGCGGGGCTGATGCCAAGAGCCCAGCAGAAAGAGAAAGAGAGAGAGAGAGAGAAAGTTAGCACAAAACAGTATCACCCAGAAAAGGAGAGAAAAACAAATATATATATATTATATAAATGTATAATTTCCATAAAACATATATTAAGGCATGTATAGCAAAATAAAGGGCCAGCTTCATGAGTGAACAGGGGCTGTTTGGGATTCCATTACGGGAGCAGGATTATTTTATCCCCCAGGGATGTTATATGTATTGCTAAAAGAAAGGAAGAAAGATTGATTCATAGATCTGATTCTGGGGAAAGTTCGGTCTCCTGGGATGTTTTGTGTATTGCCAAAATTAAAAATAGACAGATAATCTAGGGAGATGTTAGATAGATCCATTGGGCAGAGAGGTTCTGTTTCCTTGGATTTTATGTGTATTGCCAAACTAGAAAGAAAAATTGATTCACAGGCTACAGCAGGCAGGCAGCCAGCTAGCTCCCATTTCACTCAACTGGTGGCATGGCTGGGAAGAAGTAGAAATCTTGTTAGGTGCTGAGCATTTGCACCTTCTCTATATTTCAGCTGGAGATGTGAGTTCTCAGATGCAATCAGGATCAGGCCAATGGAGAAAGAAAGCTAAGAAATAGATTGAGCTTGATTACGCATCTCCATTGCGTTGCCTTTTTCAGAACTATCATCTGGAGTTTCAAGTGCTGGGACAAAACAGTTCTTCCTCCACGTAGTGAATTGACAGAGCCCCAGTCTCTAGTATAAGGTACAGAGCTTGATTGTCCACTCCTACACTCTGCTCTGAATTTATTTTGTCTTCATTTGAGTTAATCCTGATTTGCACCAGTGTAGGTAAGAGCAGTGTAGTAAAGGTGCAGAAGTCCAATGTCTGATGTTAGAACAGGGCATCTAACTGTACTGGAAAGTCCATAGGAAGAGGGGTTCTTGACAGAGGAGCTCAGATAATATTCACAGCAACACTGGGAAAGCTCGACACTTGAGGCTTTCCTATTTCAGGTCAGTTTCGTTACACCAGATCATTTTGCATGCAGCCAGCAACATTTCACAGCTTTGCACTTGAAAAAGTAGATTTTGGAGTGAAAAAGCAAGCCCATATTCAACCCAGATTGGTCTTAATTTTGAGCGTAGGCTTCAATTTCAGATTTGGGAATTTTAAAATTCCATTCTAGCAAAAAAATTAAATAGATTTTCAGGTTTCAATAAAAAACCTGTCAATTTCACTGAGAATTCAAGGAAAATAATATTGCTGGGATTCCCCCACCCCCCCAAAAGGGGGTCTGGAATGAAATTGCAAGTATTTTTTGTGAAACACAGGGTCCAATTTTCAAAAGAATTCATCTCCCACTTAGGCACCAAAATAAGTGGCCAGATTTTCAGTGCTGTTTTGAAAATCTGCCCATCAATATCACAGCGGGAGCTGCTGGGTGTGGGCACTTTTAAAAATCTTGCCCATGTTTAAGTACCTAAATGGGAGCTGAGCACTTGCAAATCCACCGCGTGGTGGAAAATACATTTGCATTTGCATGCAGCCCTAATTTTGAGAAGGGACAAGGAAACCAACTTGGACAGATAGAAGAAACCTCCTTCCTCCAAACCATTGCTTGAACTGAGCTGAGGTCTAGATGGACCTTTTCACTTATGAGTTTCCGTTGAGAAGCAGCAGTGCTGAAATAATGCTAGATTCTGCAGACCCCGATGGTTCAGGTAGTTCTGACAAGCTTCAGAAGAGCAGCCAACCTCTTGGATGCTTTTCTGAACTAGATCTCTTCCATCACCCCTGATACGTCCCCCCGAGATGATGATTCTCTCAATGTATTGGGGGGAAACAATGAAGACACATCTGGAAGAGCAGGCTCATCTCATAAGGTACTGCAGGAATGGAGACGGTTCAGCAGTGACTCAGCACCATGCACACCTGATCTCAGTTATTCCAAAATGTCAGAGGAACTAGTCAACTCTCTGTTCTTCAGGAGAAAAGAATTTCCGGGGTATGCGTGTCTCAGTGCAGTGAGTTATGAGTGTCAGTTGCCTGCGTGCCGTTCCACATGCAAACATAGCAGGGAACCATAGAAGTTAGAGATGGGTATCTAGTCCCTTTCCCAAAGGCCAGCACAGGATTGTTCTCTATGCAGGGATTGCCAGACCAGGAGGCCATCCAGTGCAGTAGCCCATGTCTCCAGTAGCAGCTGCTCAGAGAAAGGCGCAAGAACCCTGCAGTGGGCAATTATGGAATCACCTGTCTGTGGGGAAGCTTCTCCCTTGTCCCATCCATAAGAAGTTGGCTTCTAGCCTGAAAGCAGAAGGGATTAGATCCCCTCCCAGCTATGCTCCTATTCCCTTGGGCCTCACAGCTCTGGTGTCCCCTCCATTTTGGAGGCAAGGCAGTGCTTTCCAGATGGAGGCAAGAGACAGTGACAGCATCAACATGGTACCTGCCAAGACACTGCAGGAAATGTCCCTCTAGGTCCACTCAAGGCCATTCAGGACTAGATATCAAGAGCTAGATGGGGCACTCAGATCCAAGATGATAAGATGCCCAAGAAATGCCACGGACAGCGAGAGACTGCTGTTCCCTCAGCCACTTCTCCAGCGTTTTGCTCAATCTAGTATTAAGTATCTGGGCAGCAGCCCCTGATTGGAGAGCGAGCGAGCGAGCATGTGTGTGTGTATGTACACACACACACTGGTACCAGTTCCTCTCTTTCACCCCACTCCCATCCCCATAAAAATGCAAGAAATGAGCATTGTGCTGGGTAAAACAAAACTCTGAGGAAGGGCACCTGTTGCTACCATCCAGAACCTGCTCTGGTCCAAGAGAAAAAAATATCCCGAAGCCTGTCTCCCTTTCTTCTTGTCGTCTCTATGTGCAAACGGATCCCTCCTGTCCCCAGAAAGCATCCAGGTTTCGCCTGGTCACCAACACCAGCCACTTGGGCTCTCCTAGCCCCGTCCCCCTGCATCTTTCAGCTAATTCCCTTACTACATGTCCACATACATTGCACAGACCTGCTGTTCCACACCACCCTTCACCCTGGGAGGTGAAACACTAGTATTTCACAGATACAGCTATGTCCTCTTAATTTTGCAGATCCCATAACCTCTCCCATTTTCTGCCCCGGAGCCTT